GCGACCTCTTAATACCGTTCCTCATGTTGTGGGGACCCCCAACCATAAAATTATTTTCGTTGCTACTGTATAACTGTAATTTTGCTACTGTTATGAATCGTAACGTAAATATCTTTTTGTTTTCCGATGGTCTTAGGCGACCCTTGTGAAAGGGTCGTTCGACCCCCAAAGGGGTCGCGACCCACAGGTTGAGAACCGCTGCTAGGGGATGTTAAGATGTAAGACGTCAGATGCAATGAGCGGCCAGGGCCAGGGCTGTGGCCGTGCACCTGGGAGGAGGGTGGCCAGCAGGGCTGGGACAGCCAGGGAGGTGGTGCCAGCAGGTGTGTCACCTGCTAGGGTTTGGAGAGAGACTGAAGGGACAGGAAGGGGTGCAGCCTGGGGAGGCTCAGAGGCAGAGGCAGGGAGTAAGGGGAGGGTGTGAAGAGGCCACGCTGGCTGAAGTGGAGCTTGGATGGGGACAGTGCCGGGGCCCGGGGCCAGGTTAGGGGGCTTTATAGGGCGGACGGAGGAGGGTGAACTTTACTAGGTAGTGAGGGAAATAAAAATGGGGTCACCTTCAGGAAAAGGCCAGTGTGTGTCTGTGTGTGTGTGTGTGTGTGTGTGTGTGTGTGTGTGTGTTTGCGTGTTACTGACAGCCTCTGCTTTCGCCCTGCAGGGAGCAGGAAGGTAAGCACACACCTGAAAACTCATTTGGACAAAGGCCAGCCTGGTTTGAAACTGACCCACCTCTTGTCTCCTCTCTTTGGCCGTGACCGTCTCCGTGGAGTAGAAGCAGCTGTGGAAGGTGTGGCGCGTGGGCGGTGGGGGAAAGGGGAGGGCCCCCGGGAGCCCAGCTGCTCTGCAGGAAACCGGCTTGTCTGTCCTGCCGCGCTCTCAGCTGAGCCACGCTGCTCTACAACCTCTCGTGGGGTCATACGTGGGGTCAGTCCTGACCTTGGCCGCTCGAGTTTAAGGCAGAAAGTTTAACCCTGTCTCTACCACCCGCCATTTTGTTCAAACAGGGTCACCACTTTTTCCAATGAATTATTTTTGCTTCCCGCCCCCCCTAATGTTTTTATTTCACCACAGAATGTTTTAAATGCATGTAAAAGTAACAAAAAATATAATAATGTCTCCGCCACCACCACCACGCACTCATCATCCAGCTTCAAAGTCACCAACTCCCATCCAGCCTTCTCTCCCAGTGACTTCGGAGCAGGCCCCAGACTCATTCCCAGGCGTCACATCATCTCAGATGTCAGAATGCATCTCTAAGCAATAAGCACCATTTTAAAAACAAGGAACCGTGATACATCATCACATCTGAACACATCCGATTTAGGAATGTTTCGAGTTGGATTAGGAAAGCGCTCAGTTCTCTGAAACATCCTACCTGGGCGTGAAGACATTCCTACGTTGCGAAGTCCACGCTGACTCCTGGGTCTTTGGCAACCTCCTTGATCTGCCCTCACGGCTCCCTCCTCAGCTCTGCGCCCCGTACCTCACGGAGGGCACCCCCCCACCCCGTTCTTCCTTCCTGAGCGCTTCACACATGGGGGGGTTGAGATCTCTGTCCGGCCCCCACCTCACCCCCAGATGGCCCCAAATGGCCCCCAGGCACCTCAGGCTTCTCACCGCAGGCAGGCTGGACCCCGCCCTTCGAGGCTCAGCACGCGCTGTGTGGACGTGAGGGGGGTCTCCATGCAGGTCCAGGGAGCGAATCGGGGGCTCAGCAGCTGCCCTCTGCTCCCCATGCTGTTAGAGAAAACGGGGGGCCTCTTGCGTGTTTAAGGCTGTTCCAGGGGCATCTGGCCTAAAAGGAGGCACCAGAGGAACTCACAGAGAAAACTGTGAGGGCCAGGGGTCACACTTGGTTTTCAAGGAACCCTAAACTCTTCAGAAGCTATTTGAGATGATTTTTGAATGAAAAACACAGCTGACTGCACTGTCTGCTGTGTTTTCTGTACAGACTGTCAATATGGTGGGTCTTCCTCTGCTCTGGAGGACCTGCCAGCTCGTGACAGCAGGTTTGGGGGGGGGCAGGTGGTGAGACCTGACATGTAGACTCTGGAATTGGGACCCGCTTGCCTGCCACATGTGAATTAATGACATAGTTCCCCCACTGTGGTGACGGTCTGGGCTCCATGTAAGCAACTGCCTGGCTCGCACTGAGTGGGCCACACTGCCTCCCACAGAGCTGGGTCCCTGCCGTGAACGACCCTGGGACGGCAGGGTGCAGATGGCGTCCCTGAGCCTGCTGGGGACACTCCAGTGTCTCTGCTTCCCCCACGAGAGAAAGTGCCAGTGCGGAAGCTCTCTCTTTGGGCAGGTTCAGGGAGAACGGTTCTAGAAGCAGTCCGCTTCTGTGGGGTTACAATGCTGGCTGTTCCTCAGATGGGGCCGTCTCCCTGGGTGCCAGCTCTCCAGCAAGGCTGTCACAGCTGTGGCTCCCGGAGACGCAGATGTTGGGGGGAGGTTTATCTGAGAGGTGCCTCCGGGAGTAGAAAGATGGAGAAGTTTGATGGGAGCAGATTGCTGTCACTCTGCTCTTTGGGTTCCTGTCCCGGTGAGAGGCAGCCGGGTCCCTGTGTTCTAGACGCAGGACAAGAGGTGGCCGGCCACCACTCACCGATGCTTCCTGCATGCCAGGCCCCCCCGCAGGGAGCTCTCTGCACACTAGTTCATTTCATCCTTACAACAGCCGAGAAGTGGGGATAATTATTCCCTATTGCTGATGAGGCACCTGAGGCTTGGAGGCGGTACTGAGACGTGAGCGGCCCCAGCGGCTAAAGAGTGATGGGTCAGAGGCTGGAGCCCAGGCCTGACGCCAGGCCCAGGCTCTTAAGACCGTATGCCGTGCTGTGGCTCCCGGGCTAACCCGTCTCCCTCCTCCCCTGCTGCTGAGCCTCAGAGGGGAGAGTGGAGAGAGGCCCCCGTGGCACACGGCTTCCCGCTCCCTGCGTACTGAGCGCCAGGTGGGACAGCGGCTGGTCATTTCTCCCCAGCCTCGGCGGGGCAGGGCCGACGCTCACTTGGAGCCTGGATGTCGCTGACCCCCACGCCGCCGTCTCGTGCTGGGATGTGCCCAGGCGTTCACGGCGTCTGTCGCTTTTCCAGAGCAGGAAGAGGCAGCGGAAGAAGAGGCAGGAGAAGCAGAGGCTGACGGAGAGGCAGAGCCCGAGGAGCCCCATGCAGAAGGCAAGGCTCTGGGTGAGGGTGCGGGGGGGCCCTGCCATGGTGCCAGGGGGCGGCCAGAGCCCCACAGCCATTCCAGTGTTGTGAAGAGATCCGCCTGACCGGCTCTCCAGCCTGTGCAGCCCGCTGCACCTCCGTCTGGGCCGGGACGCAGCGGCCGAATGTCCCATTGAGGACCCTCGGCCATGAGCTCCTGTGTCAGGCGGAGCCCGGGCCAGGGCACGTGTGTGAGAGCAGACAGCACCGTGACCCAGAAACCAGCAGGCGCTCCTGGCCTAGGGCCTGTGTGGGGGGCTCGGCGGGGGACCTGAGCTTCGACCCAGGACCTCACTGACTTTTCCCCTTATGTTTAGAAGACGGACAAGAGGCGGAAGCTAAGGAGGCTGACGGTGAGGACCGCTGGGCACCAGAGGGAGGTTTGGGGTGGGAGGGAACCCCTCCAAGCGGCTTTGGGGGAGACGGCTCCCAGGGAGGTGGGGAGGAGGGGCCGGGTGAGAGGGCCACGCTTGGTGACACTTGTTGGGCTCCACACCTGTGCCCCCGTCATTTCAGAGCTGCCTTGGTGCTGCCTGGGGACAGGGGCCAGGCCAGGTCCCCAGTCTGGGCATGGTGCCCAGAAGTCATGTCCACACACGAGGAGCCTGGAGCTCAGGCAGAGCCACTCACAGGGTGTGGGGTTGGAGGGTGAAGCCCCAAAGCATAGCTGGTCCGTGTGGTGGGTCACCGCTGCGGTCACTGTCACACGGCAGCCTTTACCAGGGGCCCAGGTGGTCCAGTCACGCCTCTGGAGGGGAGGGGCGGCCAGCTGGGGCTTGGAATCATGGCCCCCAGGGAGTCCAGGGGCAGCCATGAAGCAGACACTTGGGAGAGGATCCTGGGCCCAGGACCCCTATGGCCGGAGCCCCAGGCCCCTCCTCCCTGTGCGGCTGAGGGAAGCCAGAACGGGGAACGACAGAAGGCGTTGGAGTCCCACGCCGATCCCATGCCGAGAGTGTGCTCCCTGCCAGGACCCGGCCACCCCCGAGACAGCATTTGGGAGCCACTGTGAGGGGGCGTGTGGGGTTTGCTGCCCCTGCTGCCTGAATTCTCGTGGGTGCTCCTGGAGCTAGGGACTTGCGTGCAGAAGGGGAAATAGAGGCCCTGGTCTCAGCTCATTGGGGCAGAGCTGGGACCAGGGCCGGGACCTGCTGACCCCGTGGCTGTGGGCTTCTCTCTTCTCCAGATGGCCCGGTGGAGGAGTCCAAACCCAAGCCCAGGTGAGCAGGACACACCTGCAGTGAGGCACTGGGAGGATGATCAGGCAGGACAGGAGTGCAGTGGGGCATGGGCCGGGGTGTGACAGGCACAGGCCACCAGGCGCAGTTGCACAGGTTGTGTACTGCACAAGAGTCTCGGTCTGAGATCCACCTCACTTATTACCAAGCGCACGCCCTGGCACGGACAGCAGTGTGTTCATCTAGAGCAGCGATTCTCAACCTGTGGGTCGTGACCCCTTTGGGGGTCGAACGACCCTTTCACAGGGGTTGCCTAAGACTCTCGGAAAACAAAAAGATATTTACATTACGATTCACAACAGGAGCAAAATTACAGTTATAGAGTAGCAACGAAAATCATTTTATGGTTGGGGGTCAACACAACATGAGGAACTGTATTAAGGGGTCGCGGCATTAGGAAGGTTGAGAACCGCTGGTCTAGAGGAAAGGGCGGGACTCATGGGTCCCTGGGCAGACACCCTCTCCTGCCCCACAGTGTGGCTGGGACACTTTCCTCTGTGGCTGAGGCAGGACCTGGGGGAAAAGGGAAGAAAGTGCGGGGAAGCGAAGCCATGAGACCGTGACAGCCTAGGCATGGTGACTTCAAAGGGCAGGGCACCGTGAGACCCCGCCTCGAAGCTGGGGGTGGGGTGGGGGCCTCAAAACGGCACCTCACATTGTCATTGTCACAGTGTCTTCACTTCCTGCTTCTGTGGTTTTGAGCAAGTCACTGCCCCTCAGATGATTAACGGTACCTACTTCAGGGGGACACTGTGAGGGTGACGTGACACCTGTGAGAGCTGTGGGGACTCCCAGGTGTGGGCACTCTGGTTGTGACGCTGGTGCAGTTGGCTGGGCAGCGCTGGCCGTGTCTGCAGGAGGCAGGGCCCTGCCCGTCCCCGGCACCCGCCGTCCCTGAGGCCCACGGCTCCATCTTCTCTCCAACAGGCCTTTCATGCCCACCCTGGTGCCACCCAAGATCCCCGGGGGAGAGAGAGTAGACTTCGACGTGAGTGGTGGCCGGGCCGGGGATGGCGCCAGGGACCCCCCGATCAGAGAGGGGGGGCTTTTACCCGAGGGAGGGGAGCAGGCTGCGGCCAGGCAGGCACTGCCCTGGGTTCAGGCCCCCGGCCCTCCTGGAGGCCTCGGGCGCTGAGGGGACGGTGTGTGCCAGCCTGCGAGCCCCGCTGCCCCCGCAGGACATACACCGGAAGCGCATGGAGAAGGACCTGAACGAGCTGCAGACGCTGATCGAGGCTCACTTTGAGAACAGGAAGAAGGAGGAGGAGGAACTCGTTTCCCTCAAAGACAGGATCGTAGGTGGCCCGGCTCCCGGAGGGCTCCCGAGGCGCGCCTCCTCCAGGAAGCCTTCCCTGATGCCCCTAACCCTGCTGGAAGTGGGCTGTCCCCCCGGAACCCTGCGCTGGGGCTTCTTGGGGCCCTGCCAGCCTGGACGCTGCTTGCTGGCAGGAGCTGAGTCCAGCCAGGTCCCGGCTGTGGGGTGACTGGTGGCGACTGTTGTCCCACCCCTGCCCTTGCCCCCCTCCCACTGGCCACAAAGCCCCCCACGATGAAGGGAGGGTGAGGTGACTACAGAATCCACATCATTATCCAGTGAGGCTGGAGGTAGTTTGATTCTTTTTTTTCTGTCCCCCGACAAGCTGCTGTGGCTGGCAGCTGGGGACTCGGCCGTGTCTCTGAGCTCAGAGCAGCTGCCAGAGCCAGGGCGGGGCAGCGGTCTCACTCGTGGGAGGTGGGAGAAGGCTGCCTGACATTTCTCACATCCCGGAGGCTGATGTCACAACGCGGGACGTCAGATGTGGGTCACCTGCACGTGCCTGGCGTGGCCCAGCCTCACGTAGCCAGGGTTTTCCTGCACGCCGCCCACCTGTCGAGGGGGCCGCCCGCCTCGCGCCTCCCTGGAGCAGGCTGAGCGCGGACACCCACGGAGGAGGGGGCAGGGCCTGTCCCCTGTGGGCTCCTGTGCCATCTCTCTCCAGGGCGGGTCCCTGCTCTGCGGGTGACACCTGCGCCTCACACACACTGCGGATTTGTTCCCTTCTCTGCAGGAGAAGCGGAGGGCGGAGCGGGCAGAGCAGCAGCGCATCCGCAGTGAGAGGGAGAAAGAGCGACAGGCGCGCATGGCGGTGAGTGAGCCCAGCCCAAGGCCCCCCCCAAGCCCCCAGAGCCCCCCACGCTCCAGCTCCCAGGCCCCAGCCCCGATAACAGCCCGAGGGGAGACGGAGCCTCAACTCAGAAGTCAGGACCTCAATCACTCATTTGTTCACTCATTCATTCACTCATTCATTCACTCATTCGTTCACTCATTCGTTCACTCGTTCAATAAACAAAGGCCTCTGCAGCCGCTGAGGCCCAGGCCCCACGGGGCCCTCGGGAAGCCGCCTGCCCCGTGGAAAGGGCACGGCTCAGCTCACCCACCCGCAAGCGCCCCCAGCTTCCGCGCAGAGCCCGGCCGGCCTGGTGGCCCCTCACCTGCCCCCTTCCCGGCCCCGCCATCAGGAGGAGCGGGCCCGACGGGAGGAGGAGGAGAACAGGAGGAAGGCGGAGGACGAGGCCCGCAAGAAGAAGGCTCTGTCCAACATGATGCATTTCGGAGGCTACATCCAGAAGGTGACGGGGGCAGCAGCGGTCCTCGGGGCCCGATGGATCGTGAGGGACGAGGGGTCCCCTGCGGCAGGCGGCCTTTAGGTTGGGGCCCGGGAGGCACGTCCCTACGGCTGTGGGTGAGAGACTGCGGCCGCCGGGCGCCAGCCCCCGTGGGCACTCGGCCTGCTGGGGTGGCCCTGCCACGCCCCACCCCCGGCTCCAGCAGGGCCCAGGAGCTCCCCGAAGGCTGGGTGCAGCTGGCAGAGCCCCGGTTGGGGACGGCTGTGGGGGGGGCCTCAGTGTCCTCATCTGTACAATGGGTTTAACGCCGTCTGTCCTTAACGCCGCCAGCTTTGAGGTCAAGTGAGGCTCACGGGTGCGCGGTGGCTCCTTCCTGGGACCTCACTGCCAACCCCTAATGTCTCCGCTCCACTCCTCCTAACACCCCGTGCTCCCTGGAGGAGGGAAACGTCCGATTAACTTTGCAAAGTCCCCAGCTCAGCCAGGCCAGCCTCCCGGCGTGCGCCCCACGGGGACCATACAGCCAAACCCTTGGCCTGGCCCTGCCCCCGCCCCGGACTCAGGTCCCGGTGACTGAGGTGGCTCGCCGCGACCACCTGAGTCACCTCCTCCGTCTCCCGGTCTCTCTGCCTTGTCTTCCGCCCTCGCTGGCTCTCTGCCGCCTTCTCCGTCTTTCTGTCGGGGTCTTTCTCTCATGCTGTCCTGGCTTTGCAGGCCCAGGTGGGTGCACAACTTCCTCTTGGTTTTGGGGGCTCCCTGCGGTGGGTCTGCAGCCCTGACCGCGCTCCACAGGGTCGGGGAGGACGGGGGACAGGAGGGGACGCGCTCTAGGCAGCCGCCCCTGTGTGCCGCCCTCTGCAGACGGAGCGGAGAAGTGGGAAGAGGCAGACGGAGCGGGAAAAGAAGAAGAAGATCCTGGCGGAGAGGAGGAAGGCGCTGGCCATCGACCACCTGAACGAAGACCAGCTGAGGTGGGGCCGGCTGCGGCCGCGAGCATGCGCACTGGGGGGCGCCGGCGGGGCGCCTTCTCGCCGCCGCCGCCAGGGGGCGCTGCCGCCCCGCACATTCCCCGCGGGGCGCGTGTGACGGGGCCGGAGGCGGAGTCCGCAGGTGCAGCCGGTTCCCCGCCTGGCTGTGCTGTCGGAGCGGCGCGCACCTGCCCAGCCGCACCTGCCCCTGCTCACAGGTGGCGAGAAGGGGGTTGACGAGGGCGGGTCCTGTATTGTCCCCAGTCCCCCCAATACACTGTGGCCCGAGCAGGGAGAAGGCCAAGGAGCTGTGGCAGAGCATCTACAACCTGGAGGCGGAGAAGTTCGACCTGCAGGAGAAGTTCAAGCAGCAGAAATACGAAGTGAGCCGGCTCACGCGCCCCTCAGTAGCCTTCCGCTGCAGGCCCCCCCCCCCACGCACCTGCCTCGTCTCCCCACCACGGGGGTCCCTCCCTGCTGGCTGGTCACAGGCCCTGGGCCTGGGAGGCCGCAGCTCAGACGCACTGAACCGGGTGGGGGGACAGGATGGCGGGAGCGAGGCCTCCCCATGTGCGCCCGAGTCCCTGGAGTCAGCACAGCCTGGTGGGGTCCCAGGAGGGCCAGCACTGGTTCCCCACATGTCCCCGCCGGGGGCCCCCTGCCCACAAGAGGAGCTCAGGTTCCCTTCCGGGTCAGCTTCGCAGTGTGTCCCTGACACAGCTCAGGCCCCATGGCAGCGGGGTCCCCACTTCCCACCCCGCTGAGAGGCAGTCCTGCGCGGTGACAGCGAGATGGACTTCGGTGCCTGGGGCGGTTTCGGGCTCTGCCCTTCACAGCTGTGTGTCCTTGGGCAAATCTCTTAACTCCCTTTTGCTTCCATGTCCTCTGCTGAAGGAAATGGTGACAAGGGTGAGCCCAGGGCCTCCTGTGGAGTGGTGCCCCCCCCATGCGCCCCCCTCCCGTGCCAGCTCCCCTCTGCCCACCCCAGAGGCCACCTGGGACCTGAGTGACAGCTCTCCAATGCAACTCTCTCGCCCACTTTTCTTACAGATCAATGTTCTCCGAAACAGGATCAACGACAACCAGAAAGTGTGAGTGCCCGGGTCCAGCCTTCCCCTGTCCCCCAACCCTCGTGCGAGGGCCTCCTCTGAGGTTCTGCTCCCGCACCCCCTCTCCTCCCGCCCTCGCCCACGGCTCGCTCCAGCCCGAGGCTGCTGCCTTTCCTGCCTCTGGGCAGCTCTCACCCCTCAGCACCCCACCCGCCCCCGCCCCCCTCCGACTGCGAACTGCTTCTCCTGCAGCTCCAAGACCCGCGGGAAGGCCAAAGTCACAGGGCGCTGGAAGTAGAGGCAGCCGCCTCCTTCAGCACAGACCTGCTCCGCGCTGTGTCCCTGCCCTGCGTGCCCCCAGCTCCTGGGGCCCTCCCGCCACGGGGGGCAGCTCCGGTCTGGACACCAGGAGTTGGCCCCGCCGGAAGCCGCCGCTCATGCCCGCACCCCACATGCCCACAGCACGCCAGTAATAAAAGCCACCGCACACGGAATGGTGTTTCTGTCACTTCCCCTTCAAAGGAAGGGACACTGAGGGGAGACCCCAGTCTCACCTGCCAGATGGGAGGGGCCGGACAGGCGAGCACGCCCCAGGCTTGAGGGCACCAGGGCCTGAGTCCCTGTGAGACCGGGGTGTGAGCCGGGGAAGGCAAGGAGGGCGGGGACGGGAAAGGGACCCTCGCACACAACAGACTCAGTTATCACAGGATCCGGGGTCCCCTGGTGGGCCAAGGGCTGGAGCCTCCTGGCTCAGCAGCGGGGGAAGGCTGCAGTGGGGTGGCAGCCCTCCACACCCCCTGACTTGTGTCCCCCACGTCCTGCACACCCCCAGGCGCCACCCTCTCCACCTGGTCCCCATCCCCCGGCTCTGGGCACCCCACCAGCCTCGAGCATCTCCTGGCACCCTACCTGCACCCATCTGCTCAGGGAAAATGCCCTCCGAGCTCTGCTGGGCCCTGAGCCAGAGATGGAGACCCTCTCCTGCCGTCCGTCAGACGGCTGTCCACACAGGCGGGCGTCATGGGCGGAGTTCATTCATGTCACACCCCCCTCAGAGGTGGGGGTAGCTGAGGACAGTGGATTTTCTAGGGGCCTGTTCGCCTCAGAATCCAGCTGTCCCAGCGGGAGACCCTGGCTCTGCATCTGCAGTGTCGCTCGCTTCCACGCCCGCCCTGTGGCACTCCAGCCCCTTCTGTCCTGGGTGCCCCGAGTTCCCTGGCTTAATGGTACAGACCACCAGGTGACATGTGTGGTAACAGTGCAGGGCTCACTGCCTGGCAGGCTGTGACAAACCTCAGCCGCTCTTACTGCTGTTTCGGTTGTAACGTGTCCCCAGGTCTGGGGAAGCCTGTTGGCCAGTGCCAGGTCCTGACTGGCCCGTCCTGGATGGGGGGCCTTACAGAGCCCCCCAGAAGCCTCTCTTCTCTCTGGGTTCCAGGGACAGGCCTTCTCCATGATCAGAACCTGCTGCTGGCTGTCCCACCCTGGGGGCTGGCCCAGGTCTGTGCCACGTCTGAATGGAGGTGGCAGAACTCGCTCCCATGCAGGCCCCACCCCTGACTCTGCAGCCTGGTTTCTGGAGAGGGTGGGGCAGGACCCGCCCTGGGTGGGGGGCTGCTGGGTCCTCTCTCGGGGTCAGGCCCCAGGGCCAGGCTCTTGGGGGCCCCAGGTTGGGGGTGGGAGTGGCCAGAAGTGCCGGGAAGGCCAGGCTGGCTGGAGCCCAGGTCCCTGCCAGGTGGTCGCGGGCACTTGCCTCTGTGGGTCTGGCTCTCCCTGGGCACAGCCTGTCCTGTCAGCTCCGCTAGGAGGAGGGCTGAGTGCCGAGCGGGGCAAACTGGATCTTTGCTTCCTACTGTGTCCCTCCTGTGTTTCTCCCCCGTCCTGGGACTGGCCGTGTGCAGCTGCTTTACATACGTTCTCCCCTCAGCCACTCACAGTCCCCAGGGCACGTCCGCGTGGTGCAGATGAGGAAACTGAGGTTCAGAGGTTTAGGCAACAAGCAAAGGGCCACTCAGTAAGTGCAAAGCTGGGACCTGAATCCAGGTCCCGGCTCTTCCCAGCATGTGGGCCTTGTTGAGTGAGGAGTCCTCCAAATCTCCCCAGATTGCAGTGGCTGCACCAGGAAGGAGCCCCCCACGAGCCGGTGGGGGCGGGGGCACGGGGCACAGGGCACAGGGCACGGGGCACGGGGCACGGGGCAGGGGCTGGCTCTGCCCCTTCCCACCCCTGCCGCCCACCTGGGAACAGCAGCCTCCCCCAGAGCCTCTGTGCCCTGTGCCTGTCAGCCTGCAAGGGACCCGACGGGGGAGATGTGGCAAGTACAGCAGGGACGCCAGCCTGGGGATGGCCCTGCAAGCAGCTGCAGACGGGGGCACACGAGGGGGCTTTGTCCAGACAGCGCACAAGCAGAGTCCTCAGCCTTGTCCTTCTCGGGGTGACTACAGCCCATCCTCCTGACCAGGGTAGTTGGGGGGACCTCTGGGTCATGGAGGCACCTGTCACTGCTTTGCCACTGTGTCACCTCCCACTGCAGAGAGTGAAGCCCAGGGTGGGCAGACGCTTGGCCTCAATGCCAGCAGCAGGGCTGACCCGGCTGCGGCTGGAGTGGTGACAGTGCCTCAGGGACACTCGCGGCCCCCCTGCAGTTGTCCTGTCCCGCCGATGGAGCTAGCTCCGTCTGTTCTCCCAGTGTCCCCTGCTGTCCTCCCTCTGCAGGGCTCCTTTCCGTCCCCACAATGCCTTCCTCCCCTCTGCCATCCGGAGACAGCCCTCCAGAGACGGCTCCAGTCCCTGTTTCTCCACGAAGCCTTGGCGAGGAGAGGGCCGGAGTGCCTGTGGCTTCCTCAGGTCGCACCCCCCGCCCCTGCTGTGCTGCCTGGAGAAGCCCACACTGAGGGCTGGTGATTCACAGAAACCAGGCCTGGTGCCCAGCTGCCCGCCCGCCGGCCCCTCCTGGGCTGGTCCCCAGAGCGTTGGCCCCACCCACCCGCTCACCCCGGGTTCTCAGCCCCCACCCCGGCAGCAGCAGGAACATAAATTACTCTCAACTGAGGACTCAGGAGAAACCGTCTCCACACTCCTGGAGCGCCCAGGCCCCAGGGGTCGCCCCACCTGTGGCCCTGAGCTCAGGCCTCGGCCACACCAGCCGCACCCTCAGCACGCCCCAAGCCCAAAGCAGGTTCCCCAGTAAAGTGAGGCCCGGGCAATGCCAATCTGAGGGAGGTGTGGGGCCAGGCTGCTCTTCAGGAAAGTGGGGGGTGGCTGAGACCTGGGGCGTTCCCGCTGAGATTGTGCTGAGACGGTGCTGACGGTGGGTCAGGGCGACCTGCTGGGCGCCGGCGGCCTCGCCCTCGCCTACCCACCCCCTCCCTGCGGTAACAGCTGGCTCCTCCCTTGGCCCCCAGCACGGAGGGTCCTCATGGAAAAGGGGTGCGTGAGAAAGCAGAGCCCAGTCGTCCCCCAAAGCTAGTCTGTGCCGGGCAGAGGCGGGGCTGGGAATTGAACACGAGTGGGAATCACAAGTGGACCAGGATGGACTCATAATAACTACGATGGGGCTGTCGAAAGAGAGAAACGAGGCTGTTAGATTCTGGGGCTTTTACTAGAACCCCATCCAGCAGGGAAGGGGTTCCCCAGAGCACAGATGGTGGACCCTCACCCCCGTTTTCTGAGGAGAGGGGCTGAGCCTGGTGGTGCTGGCACGGGGTCTGGGGCGCTGCTCTCTCAGTCCCTTCTGGGCAGTGGCCGTGTGGGGGCAGCAGTGTCA